CTGTTTGTTATAATGCTATAATGAAAATAACCCAAACTGTTTTAATGTTTTGTGATCTCCTATGATTTTAATGTTGTGATCAACTTACCTATGCCCTAATTTAGTGTAAAGTTTTGCCTTTAAATGTGGAATTCTCATTCCTTTTTATTGCTTATTTGGTTAAAGGAGTATGTTATATTCCAATTGTTTATTACAGATCCAATCACATTTGTATGAGTTTGCGTAATTAGTTTGTGTTTGAATTAGTAGTGAGAGGGGGTGAAGACCATGTTGATGACTTCACCGACGCGTGGTACCCTTGAGCTTATCTAGTGCTGCAATTATTTCTCATAAATCTTAATGACTAAAAGTATTCGTGGATGAAACGATTTAAATGATTATGAGGAAGAGGTTCATTTTTTATTTATAGCCTTAATGAATGACAAACACATATCAGACACTGTAAAAAAATAATAAGCGCATGTGCGTGTGTGGCACACATTCTGGGCACACATATGGATGGGTCGTATGCACTGCATGTTTCCTTTTATATGCTCATGGTCAAATTGCTATTGTATCAAAATTGTCTATGACAGGTATGCTTTGCTATTCGCAAGTCAATACCAGAAGGTTAATATTAGAGGAAATGTTGTTGCTTTTAAATATCATTAATGTCATTCCTCCCTTTTCTTAAAGAGCTATTTGTTCAGATTGTTACGTGTTTGTTTTTCTGTTCCGTATTAGTACGAAGATGTAAGTTTAATTACGTATTTCACTCTAAATTAAAGGTTATTTGTCATTTATGAGGTCTGTTTCATTTAGTGGATTTGTCAAAAAGTTGGTTTAATTAATTGGTAGGAGGATCTCTTAATACCTTGTTTTTTTTTCATTTTTTGTGGTAGGATTTACCTGATTTTTAAGGAGGGGCAATGAATCAAGTGGGGGTTTCTACAATTTTGCAGGATTAATTATACATTCTGGTCTTTTGTTTGTAAAGGATACTATCATTTTTCTTTCTGGTCAACACTATAAAATTCTTTATCTCATTACTTTTATTTTTAATTGATTGTTCTCTAAAAACAATTTGTTTTAGGATCAACATGGTATCAGTGCTTTGCATCTCTTGTTTGTCCGTGTTTCTTGGAGATAATTTTATGATTGCTAGGTCCTAATGCTGGTGAGTATTTGGGTGAGCAAAAGATTGGCAAATTGGGTGAAACTTTGTATCACCATAGCAAATGAGAATCATAGTTTGGACGGTTAAGGTCAACAATTTGACAAATATGTTATAACTTCTAAAAAATCAAGTGAGTATAACTTAGTTGATGAGAAACTGTGAAAAGACTTCATTCCAGTGGATGTATGGGATTAATTGATTTCAGAATAACTTGGTGGATAGGTTCAAAGTTTGTCGCCTGTTTACTTGGGTTTGGGATTGAAATTATATGAAAGAAGTTTGACTGGGTTAAGATTTAACATATTGACATAATATATAAATATTAGATACCTTAATTTATTTTATGTTGACCTTCTATGTATTCTTGCATTCCCTCTCAATTACAAGAAGAAAAAGAAAGGCAGCTATTCCCTAGTAAGCAACTTCATATTATACACTTGCTAGCTGATCTGCATGTGGTCGTCAAGAAGCCTGAAGTGGTGGATATGATATTGCCACTCCTTGTTGAAAGTCTAGAAGAGGGTGACACTACAACTCTTGGCTTATTGCGACTCCGAGTATGTATGCACGTATCCTTCTCAAGCATGCAGTAAATGTATCTACAGGTTTTCTGCTAAGGTTTGGAGTTACTGCAGCTTCTTGATGTTGTTTCCCACATGTCGAGTTTAGATTTTGAATCTGATCATGAAGCTGTTGTCTGATGACACGAAGTTACTTGATTAAGCTCTCTAGTGTTGGATATGCTAAAAGTGAAACCCTGGCACCAGAAGCCATGGACAGAGCGTGTTAAGGTATGTATATTGTAGCTCTTAACATGTGAATAGTATGAGGTATTATCAAGCTTTAAACCAATTTCTACACACTTCCTACAGGTTTTCATCTGGTTGCAAGCGGTCTTAGCGGAACTAAATTGAGGTCAGACTATTTTCATTGGATGCTATCTTAGTGCTCAGATGTAGGGTTGGCTGCAGAGTCTAGAAGTGGAAGGTCAGTTACACTATTATTGCTCGATGCCATGGCATGATTCAATTTATTACGATCTATCTTTTAAAGTGATTTTTATTATGAATTGTGCTCCCTTTTGGTGGATTTTTTTCATTAGTGTTTGATTGTATAGAGCTTTCCTCACAAAAGAAACCTGGAAATTTGCAGAGCGGATTTTCTTTTGCCTCTACTACTTAATGAGGCTGAAATATGTTTAGATTTTGATCCTACTGTCAAGGTTGAACCTTCAGTTTTGAAGTTATTTTGCAACTTGTGGTCCTATGTTGCTCTCTTTTGGTTAGCACCTCCAATATGGAAACTTTGTCCCAGATAAAGTCAATTTCCACTGCCATGAAAAGTGCGGGGAGCATGGATGCAGTTGCTCTTTAAGCAGTAGGTGGACCATGCATGTGCAATACTCAGTGGTCTTCTGCTGTTCAACGCCAACCCTTGTCAGTTGAAGATTCTGTTTTCCATTTGACTTAATCATGAATTTTTTTTGGTCATCCACATGATAATTTAATTTCTGTATAGTTATGTATTTTGACGTGTGTTATCGTTGCACATAATATCTCTTTGCTTTTCTTTCTTTAAGTCTCCCTGCTTTTCTTTTCTTTTTTTTTTTTAATGGGGCATGTTTGTGGTATGTCTTAAACGTATCTGAGAAAGCAGAGGTGCGTCACATCTGACATAAATACAGCTGTGCCTAATACTATTCTTGCTACTTATAGGTGGAAAGACTTGAGATGAGATGGTCAATCTATAAAGCTTTGACACTACCTGCTTTCTTTCAGGTTGATTTAGTTCTGTGGAACTTGAAGATGAATTGGAACTTAATGCTCTTGATAACCCGGGCAGCTGTGTGGCAATGATAAAGCTGTCGTAAGCCAAAGACTTACTCTTTCTGCTGCTCTAGCATTTAGGAGGGCAACTTGACGTTGCAGCAATGAGCACAACTCAGGTATAGCAAACACCTACTATTTACTAGTGAAACAGATATGGATTCTCAATGTTTCATGTTTGTTTAGCTAACAGGTGATTGTGGTTTCAAATATTGAGCAAATTAGGTGGCTTTGGACTGTGCTTAGTTGGCTTCACTGCCTTCAACATTCTTCAAATTAGAGGTTATAGTTTATACTTATACAAATTATGTTAAAATGAGCCTTCTCTCTAACTTCTACGGGTATTGAGGCAGCTTATCTATTTGCCGTAGCTCAATGGTGGCATCCTCAATCGTGGCCATGGTTCAACTGCTTCCAGACGTGCGTTCAGTTGTGTCTTTAATACCTGAAGAGTCCAATTCTTTTCAATTGTGATTATTTTCCCTTTTTCATACAAAGACTTACAAATCGATCCCCAAGTTTATGTAAAAAATTCCTAGAAGCAGTAAGTTAATACAATTGATAAAGAATGAAATCAGTACTTGACTCTTGAACTGCAGACAGAAGTGACATTCTGAGTTAGGAAAAACACAGATTTCAGAAGTGCTATAAGTAGGTGCTTTTATCTTCAAAAACTTCAACACAGTTGCTTTCCCATGCAAGGTGGTTGATGAAGTGAAGTTGAACCTCCCAACAGCAACATCACCCCTAAAAAATGGACTTGATGGCAATGTATCCACTAGAAGTACCACAGTTGTGCTAATATCATGCTTCCCATGAGTGGGAATTGTGTCCTCTTCAATTGGTGCTTCAGCTACAACAGTACTCCTGCGAAACTCACATAAGCAGTGCTGTTTTCAAACTTGAAGCTTCCATAGTTGCGATTATCAATGGTGACCACAACCCCTAACGTCACGTTTAGATGAAAAGGAAGGGGTATAAATTTCATAACCTCAAGAGTGACTGCCTGAGTGATGATTTTGGGTTGTTTAGGCTTTAAGATGGTGAGGAACAGAAGAATTGAGACCACTAGAAAAATGGTCACAAGAAGTGCAGTGATGCCAAGACATATTTGAAGGGTTCTTGCAAACATATTACCTTGTCCCATGATTTTATTATAATTGGGTGTTTGAGAACTGAGAGATTTATGTGAGTTTTGCTGCAGTTCATCACAATCTGTATCTCAAGGTGGTGTAGTTTAAACAAAGATAGGACTGAAATTATTAAATTGTGTTAGATTTTTCATTGTTATGTAGATGAAATCAATGCAAAAACAAATGAATTATGGAAAGACGGTTGCATGTTCGTTCTTGATTTTGTAAATACTGTTAGGCTTGTCAGGTTGTGTTTGGATGGCACAAGTAGGAGAGGCTATCAGCTTGTTAACAAGCAGAGTATCCCCCCAACCCCACACCCCTCCACCCACCACCACCACAAGCCCCCCAAAAAAAAATGAACCCACAAAAAACACCCCTTTTCTTGGCTTGACAGACCAAGTTCTGCTTTGATTATTTCAAATTTGCACAATTTTAAGGTATCTGGTTTCAACTTGATGGATTCATGTTGTTGCATTGAACGGAATTTATTCCACTGAGAATTGTTAGGGCAAAAAGTGGACTTTTCCTCGTTCAGGGGATTTGATGATGAACTAGCTATGAATTTGATAAATGTTCTAACCAAAGTTTTTGATGTAAGGAAGAGGGTAGAAACACGAGTATAATGAATGAAAGGGAATAATAAAAATAAACCGTNAAGAAGTTTCTCTCACTTCTCTTGTCCTACCCAATTTTCGCATCTGCTCTTGTATTCACGCTAATTTCACATTCTGAAATGCGCTCTCCTAAGTTTACACCAGTTTTCATTCCACCCTGCACTGTCTTCCCATCTCTTGTGAATGAACATACAAGAACAGACAAGGGACTTATGCGTGCTTGGCATGACTTTAAAAAGTTTATGGTTTTTTCTACAAACTTATAAGCTTATGCCACTTCTATGTTCGTAGATTGGGCATTGCCTTCAACGAATTTAGCCTTTGACTTTGCTGCCCGTGAACCCCTTGACGACGAGGAAGACTTAGGTGAGGAAGTCGATCTGTTCTTCTTCCGCTTTGGTTTCTTTGGGATATTGGGAAGGTCGGTGGGTGGTATGTCTCTGAACATCTCAGATGCAGGTTGTTGTTGCATAGATTCTCCAAAATCTGTTTAAAAGGCGTTACAAGAGGGGAAAAAAGGAAAAAATGAAACCACCAGAATGAGGAACGAAACTTTATTAATTGATTTTGTTCACAAACAATACAAACAGGAGAATCAACATAATGGCCAAAAAGTTCCTCCCTTTACCCCTCTCCATTTTTCTATCACTACTACAAATGGACTTAAATCAATAAGGGATAAATTTTAACTCATATCTGAACTCAAAAATGGCAATTAACACTAGGTACTCCGAGAGAAACCTTAACTTCAACATGTAAATGGCCACGACATTAGCATAAACCAATAATTTTGAGATTAATAATTTAGTGCCAGAAAATTACATGAAAGCAGCAAGATAGAATTTTTCTAAAGCCATTTCACTTCTGATTTTGTTTATGCTTGGCTCAGCGGCATCAATCTGGAAAAGGGGCCTAAGAATATAATGTACTCCCCATTACCCCAAGAGATCTGATCCGAGTTATATCAGTGTTCAACCATTTGAAGGACAAAACAAGCTTCACTCCGCGATATAAACTTGCTACACATAACATTCTGTGGTGGCACGGTTATCTCCAGACCAAACCTCAATCCCTTGCGACCAAATATATGATTACTGAGGTCTTCCTTGTTTCACAGGAAATGATAATGGTGATTGACATGTCTCATGTAGGATGAAAACCCATATAAAAGTTAAATTTATTTTAATCAACAGTAATAATGATTTGCTTCATTTTATGTTTACAGTGATGTGTCTAATCTACTCCTAAAAGGAAAAGGATGGGATCCACNTAATCAACAGTAAAAATGATTTGCTTCATATTATGTTTACAGTGATGTGTCTAATCTACTCCTAAAAGGAAAAGGATGGGATCCACTAAGCTGTAGATGGGATCCAATGGAAGGATAAACCCTTGCTTCCGCCACTCAAAAACTTGAATTCCTCACTTTTTTGGTGAGAATCATAGACCCGATCAGCCAATGATGTGCTTAGTTGATAATACAAGCTTAAGAAAGGTACATTATTTTCTTGATAAGACTTTGGTACCAAAGGAGGTATGCTACCAAAGTTTACTCTTTGTTGGGATCAAGTTACATCTAAAAAAGTTAGGATCGATCCTAATGGCATAGATTCATCAAATTGAATTGTAACCTCACCCTTTAATTCCCTTTTTTTCTAGACAACCGTTTAGCATGCACCATCTAGTCAAGCCTACAGGTCAACTCATTTAAGACACATAAACCCAAATAGTTTCCTTTCTATAACCATTCATTAGTAGATTCCCCTTTTTGAACAAGCTTCTCGTGACAGATGAGCCAAACTGTTCCTGTTGGGGAAAAGAATCCCAAAACTGTCATAAGATGATGTACACATGCAACTTTCCATGGGTTGGGGACAAAACTATCACATTTATTTCAACATTTCAACCCGTGAAAAGGCCTTGTTTGCCTTTGTCTGGTTAGGAACATTGCACATGATATCAACAGAAAATCAACTGCCTCTGACTTTGTGATCTTCTGTTTGTTATTGTTTTTTTTGCTCTTTTTTCCTCAACCCTCAATGTATCCTTGGCAATTACGATAAAGGCATTCCCAAAACTGTTAGTTTCCCACCGATTCTTTTAGGTATATCATGAATGGGGCAATCTATAGTTAACCAATAAACCTTTGGTCCAATGATATTTCTTACCTTGAAGACTTTGTCTTCTTGAAGCGAAGGGTTCAAGTCCCAGTCCCGCTCCCCCTCCCCCTCCCCCTCTCCAAAAAAAAAATCTATAGTTACAGTACTCTTTTAGATGAAAAGTGAGAAAACAAACAAAATAAATGAGAAGAAAAAAACCAAACCTTGAGAGGACCATGGAGAGAGAGCAGAACCAGAATTACCAATGGATGTTTCTGCAAAATCTGGGCCCGTCTTGAATTCATTCATCTACATTTTTACACCAAAATGACACAACATAAAATTATATCTATAAGAGGGGAGAGAGAGAGAGAGAGAGAGAGAGAGGTGGACAATACTTACCCAACTAGGGGCACTACCAGAGGTACCATCCCACCCAATGTGAGCCACATGCTTAACATCTGTTGGGTACCCAATATCCATCTCACGCTCCTTCACAACTGCAAAATTTCCACCTTAGCCCCAAATCACCAAAACCCATTACAANGGTGAACAATACTTACCCAACTAGGGGCACTACCAGAGGTACCATCCCACCCAATGTGAGCCACATGCTTAACATCTGTTGGGTACCCAATATCCATCTCACGCTCCTTCACAACTGCAAAATTTCCACCTTAGCCCCAAATCACCAAAACCCATTACAATATACAGAAGAACAAAAACCAAAAACCAAAAACCAAAAATGCATACATAAGCATATGAGAGAGAGAGAGAGAGAGAGAGAGAGAGAGAGAGAGAGAGAGAGAGA